GGTTTACACGGATGGCAGGGAAATTTCTGTTTCACGAATGAAGGCAAATATAGGTAGTCCTCAGCTTACGACCACAACTGAGCCCAAAATTTATGTTGCAAAGCAAGACAGTTGAATGAGTTTTGCCCCATTTTGTGACCATTCTTGTCAGAGTTATTAAATGAATCACTGCAGTTGTTAGGTTGGTAACATGGTTGCTAAGTGTGGCTTCCCCATTAACTTTGCTTGCCAGAAGGTCACAAAAAGGGGATTACACCATCCTGGGGATACTTGTTGTGGTTAGCCAGCAGCAGGTGTGGATGGATGAGGAGAGCGAGGACTCAGATGAGGGGCCAGGACCATTAGGGGGTGGACTGCTGCATTCAGAGATTGTGGGGGCTGGCAGCAGCGATGAGGTTCCCGAGGAGCCTGTGCCAAGTGCGCGTGCGTGCAGAATTGCTCGCAGGAAAGAGCAGCTGGAAAAACACGGGCAACTTGGGAGTAAGACTGCAAGGTAATGGCCCCTCCTTCAAGAAGATAAAAACCAGCTGTGAATCGGATGTTCTTTACAGGAAGCAAAGACGTTTTGAAACTCAGCCTCGTGGACATTGCAGTATCTTAAGTTGGTATTTGAAGACTCTTGTGTTGTAAAATATTTCTTATCTGTTATTCTTGGCAGCCTCACACAGTTTTGATGAGGCTTGTGCTTATCAAAGTTAATTAGTTTACAGCAGCCTTTTAACCAGGGATTCATAATAATCAATAAAAGGTTTCTGTTCCCTTTGGTTCGTGTTTGTTTTGTTGGAAAAGGGTTTGGGTCAGAACAATACTGTAACTGTCATAAATGAGAGTCAGTTCCCAAAGCATCTGAATTTTTGCTCTCATGACCATGGGGAGGCTGCAATGGTCATAAGTGTGAAAAATGGTCATAAGTCACTTTTTCCGGTGCCGTTGTGACCTTGTACAGTCACTAAATGAACCGTTGTAAGTCAAGGACTACCTGTATAATAGGATAATATTGCAGGATGCAATCTGGGACTGGAGGTTTAGTCTTCCAAGCTTTTGTGCTGGATTCCATCCTCAGGGGATTTTTCCCTCAGCAGAGAAAGTGAGATTTCAGTCTGAATAAACTCGAGCGGAAATTCTCCCTTTATTTCCGTAGATTGTATGGCTTGTGAGTGTACTAGGAGGTCTTACTGAGTTTGCATTTCTCAATTTATTCACTCCTATTTTCCTGTCATAACTGTGAAAAATCAGGGGCATACACAGGATTTCACACTTAGTGCTTTGTCCTCAAAATCCTTCCAATAAGCGTAAAATGCAAGGAGAGACAAAAAAGGGTAAAAGGATTTGTGGACAAAGAAACATCTTAATTTACTTATTCCAGTTTACATTGTTTTCTCCAGATCAGCTTCCTCTGTTCTGCAGGTGGATGGATTTGAAAGCTCTGGATTTTTAAGCCAATGCCATGCTTGCTGAAAAAAATTCTAGGCGTTTGAAGTCTATCTTTCTGGACAGAAGCACAAAACGAGGAAGGCTGGTTAAGACAGAACGAAGGCAAATACACGTGAACCAGGATAATGTTGCAGTGGGCATGGCCAGCTTGACGTCACTCGTGTCAGGGGTGCCTGTGGGGGCCCGAGTGCCAGCGAAAATGGGCTCCCAATCTTCTATTTTGGCTGGGATGGCCTCATGCAACCCTCCCAAACGTGCCCCCCCCCAAGCTCCATTTTTGTTGGTAGAGGGTTACAGGAGCCTGTCCCAGCCAAAAACGGAGATTGGGAGCCCATTTTCGCTGGTAGAGGCATTGCGGGCTGGTCCTTCGATGTTTCCAAGGTGGCCCCCATGGGCCAATCTAAGCACCCCACGGACCGGATCCTTCCCACGGGTCTTGAGTTTGACACCCCTGAGCTAAAGAGAAGTTCCCTCAGGATGAGCTCCAGCATGGGTCCAAAAGTTTGGAAGGAAGACAAAACCTCCAGACCAGTGATTGACCCAGATTGGATCCTGTTATTAAAGATGTTTGTCTTAGCTACCTTTGTATATGTTAGCTTAGGTCAGTGATGGGAAATCTTTTTGTTGTGGTGTGCTGAAAATGCGCGTGTGCCAGCATCCACAATGCAATGCACCCCGTCCCCCTGCAGATGCACGCGCTACACCCCTGCCATGCCTCCTTACCTGCACTGTGCATGCGTGCGCTTCCCAGCTGATTTTCTGCCTGTTTGTGGTTGTTTTTGCCCTCCCGGAGGTTCGAGGGAAGTCTAGACTATTTTTGAATATGTTTTATCTCCAACTGAGAATTATTGAACAGTGGGGCCAAGTTGGAGGCATTAAAGGACATTTATTTACGTTGTGGATTTTGTTACGTTTGTGTTACATTCCGGGTCATCACAGTTGCTGTGTCCCCAAGGCTATGGGATCCTTTTTTGTGACCTTCTGGCAAGCAAAGTCAATGGGGAAGCCATCGATCACGGAGCCACCGGGTTACTAACTTATCGATTGGAGCAATTCACTTAACAACTGTGGCAAGAACGGTCGTATAATGGAGCAGAGCTCCCTTAACAAATGTCTGACTTAACCACAGGAATGTTGTGCTCCATTGTGGTTGTAAGTCAAGGAGCACCATGTATTACATGGAGAAAAAAGCCAAGAGGCTGCCAAGGAAAATATTAGGGAAAGATCAAAGATGCTCCATGAAGGATGGATTCTCTAACCCTACAGTTAGCTTGTTTCTTCTATCTATCCATTCGACTTCTCAACTGCTCTCTGATTGCAGTTCTTTTGGGAGCTTTTTAAGAAAGTGGAATGCAGACATCTTTATAGCCATTCACTGTAATCAACAAAACCTTCTTTTTGTAGAGAAAAACTTAAACACTATACTTAGAGGTTGGGTGGTGAATGAGGAAAATGTGGCTTGGTGTTAATGCTTTGTAGCCTAGCTTCTCATATCTGGCCAACAAATGTAAGATATCTCTATATCTAGAGGATGTTGCAATGCCTCATCGCAACTGTAGAGTATCTGCGATATCTACATACAGGTAGTCCTTGACTCACAACACTTCGTTTAATGACCGTCCAGAGTTACAATTTCACTGGAAAAAGTGACTTATGACTGTTTTTTCTTGCTTAATGACCATTGCGGCATAGTCACATGATCAAAATTCAGAGAGGGGGGGTGTCTTCTGATCCTCTTTTGCGACCTCCTGACAAGCAAAGTCAATGAGGAAGCCTGTTAACCCTGTTGCTAACTTAACAATTCCAGTGATTCTCTTAACAACTGTGGCAAGAAAGGTCATAAAATGGAGCAGAACTCAGTTAACACTGATCTCGCTTAGCAACAGAACTCTGGGGCTCCATTGTGGTTGTAAGTCGAGGATTACCTGTATTCTTTTCTTCTACCATGTTGGTTCTGCCGGGGGAAGATACGAGAAGATATTTTGTGAGCATTCAATACTTCTCATCCATGTTTACTGGCAAAAGGTTCCCGTACCTTCCTTTTTAGAATCCTGCTTCAGTGTTAAATGCAAACGTTGATAATACTTTCCCCATGATTGGATTCCTATCTAGGATGAATTACTTACAGCATTTGTTTTCTACTCTAGAAGAACTTAATTATAGATTAATGCAGCTTGGGAAGTGGCAAGATGTTTTCTCTGTCAAGCCTCAAATAGATCTTCTAGGATATTTGGGTCCAACTTACTTTACCATTCATTTTTCACATTTATTGTTTTTAGGCCAACCTTTAGCAAGGTTGCCATGGTGAGGCATGATCAACATAGTAAACGATCAGTAGAAAGTATTTAAATACATTGAGTCAAACAAAATAGTAGCTTTCAAAAGCCCGTGGTGCAATCTTAGCAAACTAATAAAATTGTCCTTTGATTGGCTCTACATTGGAAGCACCTAGTTAATAAGAAAGTATTAATCTGGGTCTAAGTAATAATAACCTAAATAATGAAAGTAAGAAGAAGCAATCTAATAACTTCTTTGAAAAAGGTACATTGTATATGGATCCAAACAATAAGCCTTTTCCCCCCATTTATGGCTTATCCAGTAGTAAGAAAATTCAGAGAACTTCTAGAAGGCAATGAGATCCACTAGAAATATTCTACAATATTTTAGGTAATGGTAAAGGTTCCCCTCGCACATATGTGCTAGTTGTTTCTGGATCTAGGGGGTGGTGCTCATCTCCGTTAAAAAGCCGAAGAGCCAGTGCTGTCCAAAGACGTCTCCGTGGTCGTGGCTGGCATGACTAAACGCCGAAGGTGCATGGAACGTTCTTGCCTTTCCACCAAAATGGTCCCTATTTTTCTACTTGCATTTTTATGTGCTTTTGAACTGCTAGGTTGCTAGAAGCTGGGACAAGTAACGGGAGCTCGCTCTGTGACGCGGCACTAGGGTTTCGAACCGCTGAACTGCCTACCTTTCTGATCGACAAGCTTAGCGTCTTAGCCATTGAGCCACCTCATCAATACTTTACATTGATATAAAAGAGTGTATATGCCCCAGGTATTGACACCTGCTAAATTTATTTCAAAAACTGAAAACCTATTATTATAATAGCCTCAAGAATGTCTATCCAATCATAAGTATCTTAGAAACATGAGTGTGTATTTTTTAAGATTAGTTTGTTCTGCTGCTAAAGGTAATTCCATCAAGAAAGTCTCCCAATATTTAGTGAAATTCTTTACGTGTTTTGAAACTTTGCAACTTTCTGATTGTTGAATCATGGTTACCGTGAACCAATAACTTGGAGATTGTATGTAGATGGACTGTTTGAGAATCTTCCGGGAATGCTCTAATTTTGTTTGGTATTTTTTAATGATCAAAATCTACAATCCCCCTTGTTAAATGCAATGGTTCTTTGAAAGTGTGATGAAGAAATTTCAGCTGCAGAAATGTCTATAATTTATACACGCTTGGTTATTTTTCTGTATTCTGTTAGGAATGCATTTTCTGTATGTTTCTCAGGGTTAAGATGCTGTTCTTCATCTTGACATGTCTCTGAATTTCTTTCATAGCTGGCTGCACATTTGAAGAAGACGGGGACCTAAATCAGTGTGAATACAGCCAAAGTGTTGAAGATGACTTTGAGTGGGAACTGATCCGAAGCTACCTTCTTCCCCGTTTGACCTCTGATCTTCCTCATGGTAAGTCTGCATTTTAATTTAGGGCAGTATACACTGATAATGAAGGAGGCACCACGTAACACTATGTGTTAATCATGCTGTGTCAGGAACAGTACGTCTAATGTTATAATAGGAGCTCTAGTGGTGCAGGGGTTAAAATGCAGTACTGCAGGCTAACTCTGCCCTCAACCTGGAGTTCAATCCTGATGGGGCTCATGGTTGGCTCAGCCTTCATCTTTCTGAGGTCGGTAAAGTGAGGACCCAGATTGTTGGGGGCAATGTGCTAGCATTGTAAACTGCTCAGAAAGTATATAAGTCTAAGTACTATTGCTATGTGGGAACGATCTTGGGAGACAAAGCAACAAGACACGGCCAAGGGAACAATTAGATAAAAGGTAGCTTACCCCTGAGCAGGAATGTGGAAGGAGCAAGAGTCCCAGAAGTAACCCTAGTATTTGTGCGATAGAAGGGAAGAGAAGAGAGAAGTACTTTCAGACTTGCAAGATTCTTTTACTCTAACCTTACAATAAAGGAGAATTAATTCATCTAGTCATGTTTTCTGATGGTGTATTTTGTAAGGTTGACAGTAAGAATGTATCACGGGTCAGCAACTGTGCCTATTTTGCATGCATTGTCATTCCCAAAGGCACACTTGGTAGTTTTCTTGATGGCATTTTCTTGAAATGTGCAATTCTCTATTGGAAGGTATCTTTTATTTGAGTTTCATTGACAGCTGAGGACATTTCTTTCTTGACATTTGTCTTGATTTTTGTTTATTTTGTCTATTTAGGACCAGTGTTGGCTTCTGTGTTTATTTACTATTTCTTTTTTTCTTACATTTTTTTAAAAAAATAAGTATTGGTTACTGTTCTTTTAATATTCGGCCTTGTTCAAAAAGTGAAGCGGTACCAGAAAGGGGCAATACATGGCTGATTTTGCTGGGCTCAGAAACTAAGCATAATCATAGGTCAAGCATGATCCAGATCCAAGCATGAGGACCCAAATTGTTGGGGGAAATATGTGACTCTGTAAACTGCTTAGAGACTGCTGTAAAGCACTGTAAAGCTGTATATAAGTCTAAGTGCTATTGTAATTGCTATTGCTATCCATACTTTGTTAAAAAAATCATCAAAGATGCAAGCCTAGGCTAGATTGGAAAGTCAAAATACATCCAAGAAAAAAGTCATGCCCCTGTTGGAGTCTGAATCCGAGGAGGAAGATGAACAGCGGACAGGGAGTGGGAGTATGGCTCCGTTGGCTGTGGAAGAAACTGGGGAAGGGTAAAGTCTGGCTGGGCAGAGCAGGGGAGAGGTACAACAAAAGAGAAGGAGTTCAGAGGAAGACCCAGGCCAACCCCCTCCTCATCCTAGGGCACGCAGGGAGGAACAGAGAAGAGAGCAATGTGGGTTGCATGGCTTATGGGGGAGGGAAGGGCCCTGATTCCCTTCATTAGCCACAGCTGGGAAGAGAGTTTAAAAGAGATGCATGCTGAGTGCGGCAGCTGCTGGGAGCAAACGTTTATCTTGTGTTGACTTGGTTATCTGTGTTCCTCCCAACCGTGTTGAGTTATTGTCGTGCCTTCACATCTGGAATTCCTTCTCTTGCCCTGCCGGGCTAATTACCTCATCTTGCCTTGATTGGACTTATAGTTACAGTTTTTGTTGACACGTTTTGCACTCTCTGCAGCCAAGGCTGTTCCTGGGAGAGTTTTTCCCCAGCCAGAAGGTAACCAGGACATTGGGGGCAAAGTTGAAGCTAATAAAAGGACTCCTACTGATTATCTGACTGTGTTGCCTTTGTGCCACGCCCCAGGTCATCACAAAGAAGTTAGTTGCAACCACTTCCAAAGAGCCAGTGTGGTGTAGAGATTAAGGTGTTCAGGTAGGACTGGGTGGCTTTGAGCCAATTGCTGTATTCCAAAATACAGGGGAAGGGTAAAGTCCGGCTGGGCAGAGCAGGGGAGAGATTCAATTTTCAAAAGAGAAGGAGTTCAGAGGAAGACCCAGGCCAACCCCCTCTTCATCCTAGGGCATGCAGGGAGGAACGGAGAAGAGAGCAATGTGAGTTGCATGGCTTATGGGGGAGGAAAGGGCCCTGATTCCCTTCATTAGCCACAACCTATTTTACATGGCTGTAATTGATGAAAGCTGAAGACCGGAGTGCTATGTAGGCCACCTTACATAGAATGAAAGATGGCATGAACAAACAAACAAGAAAGCTTCCACAAAATCACCAGGAGCTTGATTCAAAGGAGAGTCCAAACTAACGGGGTATATTAAGTCTTCAGATGAGTGCCTCTAATCTATGCAGAGTCTGTCTGCAACTAGATTTTTTGCTTTCCTGCCTAAATATTTTTCGGAAGCTGGAAACCATTTATTCAGCCTTGAATGAAATTTAATGGGAGTCATTCCATTTTTCAGTCTTTTTGTGAACTGGAAACTCGGTGTAACGAAAGGCAGAATTGATAGGCCCGAATTGTACTTATGGTAGAAGTTGGCAAGGACTTTCACAGCTTATGAAGTGAGAAAATTTGTAAGCCAGCTGATGGACCGGCTTTAATTTTGCTCCAGTTGTCCATGCCGTAATAACTGACTATTTAGACTGCTGCAATGCATTTATGTGGGATTGGTGCCAAAGGCAATTGGTAAATTTCATTTAATCCAGAGGGGGATACGTGACTACCTCATGCCAGTGCTTTACAGTGAAGGGCCCTGAAAAATCAAGCACAGTTGTTGCTGTGTTCACACATAACATTAAACCAGCATATTTTAGTCCTGTCTTTGTTGCAGAAGCCATACTGTCCTGGTTTACACAGTGGAAAGTTGCACTAATTTAATTTGCATTGCATATGATTTCATTTCATTTTTTCTCCCAGCACAGTATGTAAACCCAGCTAACCTAACTATGGACCATGCCCTACAGGAGAACATGACTTGCCAAGCTTAAAAATGATTAAAAATCCTGATTTTGTGTTAATAGCTGTTGTGGTTAGCCGGCAGCAGGGGCGGACGGCTGAGGAGAGCGAGGACTCAGATGAGGGGCCAGGACCATGAGGGAGTGGACTGCTGCCTTCAAAGATTGCGGGGGCTGGCAGCAGTGATGAGGAGGTTCCCGAGGAGCCTGTGCCAAGTGCGTGTGTACTCAGGATTGCTCACAGGAAAGAGCAGCTACAACAGCATGGGCAACTCGGGAGTAAGGTTGCAAGGTAATGGCCCCTCCTTCAAGATAAAAGCCAGCTGTGAAACGAACGTACTTTGCAGAAGGCAAAGACATTTTGAAATTCCAGCCTCGTGGACATTCCAGTAACCCGAGTTTGTATTTGAAGATTCTTATTTTGCAAATTATTTCTTGTCTGTTATCTTTTGGCAAGTCTTGCACAGTTTGGCAAGGTTTGTGCTTATCACAACTAATTATTTTGCAGAAGCATTACAAGGTTTCTGTTCCCTTTGGATTGTGTTTGATTTATTGGAAAAAGGTGTGGGTCAGAACACCCAGCTAGCCTAACTATGGACCATGCCCTACAGGAGAACATGACTTGTCAAGCTTAAAAATGATTAAAAATCCTGATTTGGTGTTAATAGCTGAACACAGACAAAGCCTTGAATCTTTTAGATCCATTTATGAATTGGGACCAGGTTATTTGAAGGAATTTTGCCCTGTGCATATAAGAATATCCAATTCTTACATTGGGGATAGTCATATCATTTGTATCTTCCTCTTGTAGCAGGGAGGTGAAACCTATTCTCCCTGTATGTTGCTGAGCTACATCTCCCAGCATCCCTCAGCAGAGTCCCTCAATACAGGAAGGGCAATGGGAGACCACACAGGGACCCTCATGCTTTTAAATTAGGAGAGTGATGAATTGCCTGCTGAATTCTTCGTGAGATGCATTATATCTTTGCTTAAAGAAGAAACAAATCTTTTTGTTTGAGTCTGATATGCCCATATACTTTTTGACAAGCATCTGGAACAATTTGCTGCCGAATAAAAGTTTTGCAAATGATGTAAAGATAGAGGCAACTGAGGAGGAATACTGATGAGGACCTGGCTGGCATAAACAGCACAATGCAGACTTCTTGATAAGCCCAGCTTGTTCCAACAATACATGCATTTAAGATAGCCAAACACTTAAGGTCATGTATCTAAGAATGACAATATAGGTAATTTCCTGTGGGTTATATTTTAAAAAGTCAAGACACTCTGGAAAAGATTTAATGGCCACTGGCCTTTGGCTTTTGCAAACTTCTTATTTCCATCCCACTAAGCAATTATTCTCCTCAGCTTGCAATTAGTTTCTTTCTATACAAGAATCCGTTCTTCTACCTTGGTGGAGCTGCGGCTGAAGAATAACCTTTGTAGTCTTCTCCGTTAGGAAGTTGGAGAGTTGCTAATATTGAGTTTGATTATTTGTTCATCTGACTCAAATAATTGGCAACTCAAGGTTTACAGGCTACATCGAGGTTCTGGCTCCCATGGTGTGCTTTTTAAAATGTTCCAGCAGGACCCTGCTGGGAAAAAAAAACAATTTTGATTTCTTCAAAATAGGTACACACATCCATCTTTCTTTAAAAACTCCAATCACCCCAAAAACATCTCCCTCCCTCTCTTTCTTTCTGCTTTCAGCAGCAGCAACAACAACAACAATAATGGCACCTGCCACATAACACCTGAGACTTAACAATTGTCTATAAGAAAGACAAAAATGTCTGGATAGTGGATGTGGCAGTGCCTAGAGACAGCCAAATGGAAGAGAAACAATCGGAGAAGATAACAAAATACAAAGACCTACAGATAGAAATAGAATGATTGTGGCAAAGGCAAGCAAGGGTAATACCAATAGTAATAGGCACCTTGGGTACAGTCCCAAAACAACTAGGGCACCACTTGAACACCATTGGCATTGACAAATTCACCGTCAGTCAATTGCGGAAGGTGGCTTTATTTGGAACAGCTTCCATCCTGTGACGATATCTGTAACACCATCACACATCCTGATTTGCCTACCCATGGTCATTTGATAG